AATGCAAAACATGACAATAACATTGAATAAAATTGCAGTAAATAAATTTGTATATAAATACACTCCCTCCGCAAATAAAATTTACTGGTATGTGTTGTGATTACCAATATACATTCATTTCCTAAGTATCAGGCATGGAATAAATAATCTAAAATTATTCCTAAATTTTGCACCTGAGGAGAATTTAGTTAACTATTATTGTATATATGAATTATTATATTACTGATAATAACATTTTAATTGGAGAAGAATTTAGTTCTTTGAGGTGTTTAATTTGAGAAAACAATATGACTAGGAATAAATTTGACACAAATACTAGGAATTAAATCAAAAGCCAGGACCAGAACTATGGTTGTAAGGAATATGTTTACAGGAGTGTAAGAAAAGTCCTGAATGAAGAGGACACAGGAGGAAAACAGGATGAATGGTTAATGCTTGGGAAAATCCAAAAGGCTAGGTGGGAAAGAGAGAAAGAGAAAAATAAGTTAATGAAGATAGAAATGGGTGCCTAGAAATATGATTAAAACCCAACTTCATGTTATGCAACAAAAGCCAATGATTTGGAAACAAAGTTAACTTTTATGGGATTATTTAGTGTTTCAGTGGGTGCTAGTGGATTCTGACTATGATATGTAATTTCTATTGATCTATCTTCAAATTCACTGATTATTTATTCTGCCCCATAACATCTGCTATTAAGCCCAATTAGAAAACTGTTTTCTTCAGTTATTTGAATTTTCAAGTATAGAATTTCCCTTTATTTATTTTATAGTTTTTATTTCCCTGTTGGAATCCCATGTTTATTGTGTCCTTGTCATTCTATTTTAATTTAATTATTTAAATGTAGTTTCCTATAATAATTTTAACATATTGATATTTATAGCAGCTGTTTTGGAGATTTTGTCTGCTAAAGTTAATATCTAGAACCAGATTTGAAAATCTGACATGAGCAAGGGAAGCCAGATAGCAGACAAGGACACACTGTCTACTATCACAGCATCCATGGGAGGGATGTCCTGACACTGAGGAACACAGATGCTAAGGCACTTGAAAACTGGGTGATTGTCCTGATGCTGCCACCTACAGAAAAAAATGAATTATCCTTCCCTGTTTTCATCCATCACCAGCGTCCTTTCAAATCTCATGGTGGGTCCATGATACTAGCCAGCTTTATGTTGCATACTCACATTTAGGGGTATCTGAGACTGGGAAATAAAATATCTTGCATTTTCACCTTCTATATTGAGAGGTGGTCTCTAACTTTATCAAAGAGTCATTGAGTAGATAATTCTCCAAGTACAAGGAAGTTCAGATGATGAGTACCACAAGTAAACAGAAGACAAATCTCACTACATGTTCTATCCTTAAAAAATTTTTGCTAAAAACATATCATCTTTTTTTTTAAATTAATTAATTGATTTATTTATTTTTGGCTGTGTTTGGTCTTCATTTCTGTGCGAGAGCTTTCTCTAGTTGTGGCGAACGGGGGTCACTCTTCATCGTGGTGCATGGGCCTCTCACTATCATGGCCTCTCTTGTTGCAGAGCACAGTCTCCAGATGTGCAGGCTCAGTAGTTGTGGCTCACAGGCCTATTTGCTCCACAGCATGTGGGATCTTCCCAGACCAGGGCTCGAACCCGTGTCCCCTGCATTGGCAGGCAGATTCTCAATCACTGTACCACCAGGGAAGCCCTTTATCATCTTTTTCTCATAGGAAATATCTAAAGTAATTTTTGAAAATGAGAATAATTTAGCTTACATTAATCATTGGAAGAAGTCATCAAGAGGTTGTGACTGCCGGTTGACCAGAGAACTGGACCCAGGCAATCAGAGGTCCCTCATCCCCTCCGCTGTCCTAGAAATGTATGGTCTGCCAGCTATTCCCACATTAGGAGCTGTTTCAAGGATGAAGCCTTGAGAGAGTAAGGTGCTGTTAAGACCATCTGCACTAGACCCAGTTACAGCCTCTATATAAACTTTTAAGATTCTGGTGGTGAGTGCTGAAATCTAGTCATCATGTGGCACACAAGACAAGCCCCATAAGTGAGTTCCCTTGCGTATTAAACCTGCTGCCTTCCAATCTGGAAAGATCTGCCTCTTTCTTTGATCTCTCCTTGCCCTCTGTGTACTGAGGCCAATTTGTGAACCAACAGTAATTTAAAGAAACAAGCATGTCAATATGTATAACAGACAGTTTTTGAAGGAAAAGACATCAAAGGAAAGTCAACTTAATTAACACCGTACAGTTATGTATAAACAGTCATATGAGTTTAATTTTAAGAAGATAACGGACTTTTTGAACTCTCCTAGGTTCACTGAGATGAGAACCAAGCCACAGTTGCAGTCCCGTCAGAACAAAAACAGAAAGAGTAAAAGTCTAGTTAATAGCATTAGGCAATGTGTTGATTTTTTGCAGACACGTTGAAAATCTCATATATTCTGAACATAATGTTAGACTCAGTTGTAAGTTCCATCACTGACATGTTTATAATGAAGTAAATCCTTGGCTCGTTTCTAACTGAGACTGTGAGATTGAGGTAGATGAGTGCCTAAGTGATGCCTGGGCAAATGGGAGCACTTGTGTTGATCTTCACATACCTTTTCCTGCCTGTGTCAGAATGGATTTCAGGGTGGGCACACCTGCTAACCAAAATTATGATAATCAAATGTTAATTTGAGGTGGAAGTAATTCTTTATTTTTAGAAGATACAATTCATCTCATACACATGCATATTAATTTTTTCCAGGAGAATATTTGAACATATAATACCTGCTTGGATTATCTTACTACATCTTCACATCATCACAGAAATAGATATATTTAGAGTTGAATGAATATTTTGCTTTTGTAAATGAGCCAGTTTTTTAGAATTATTAGCTGTAAGTCCATTATACTTATGTTTAAAAGTTATAATTTTTTTTACACCACATCCATTCTGTTACCATAGTAACATGGTAACTCTTACAGGAGTCCTTGTCAATACAGTATATCACTTATTTTGATGAACTGTGATGTGTTAAAATATTTATGTAGTTGTGTGTGTGTGTGTCTGTGTGTGTGTTTTACATTAGGACGAAACGCTAATAATAGACAGACTTTTACTTTCCAAGATTGGAAAAAGTAGCAGAACTCTTAATACTTTCCTTATATGCAAGCAGATACCATCTAACTGCCATCATTACAAGTTAAAATGTTGCTCAATATCTAACTCTCATGAACTGTTCCTAATTCTACTCCTATGAGAATGATTGAGAAATAAAAGTACTGCATAACTTTTAGGCAATGAGAAAGTCATATTTGTTTTGAAAACCATGAATCCAACAGTGTTTTTATTTTTTTTCCTATTAAACCTAAGAGACTGGTTTTATGTGGTTAACCTTCTTAAGAATAATAATCTCCAGGAAATATGTGGCCACTTATATAAACTTAATGTATTATTTATCATGAACAAAAACTTGAGAAGATTTAAAATTACATGACAGATAGCAAGGTCTTTTGGAGAGATGAATTTTGGTATATCCTTGACTACAAAGAACAAACCCAGGTTTTTAATTGTGCCATATTTTTTTCACAAAGTTGATGCATAAGGCAAATTACCAAATAAATATTTTTAAGGTATAAACAAAGTTTTCATTTATTATTCTTTTTTTTTTTTTTTTTTTTTTTTTTTTTTTTGCGGTACGCGGGCGTCTCACTGTTGTGACCTCTCCCGTTGTGGAGCACAGGCTCCGGACGCGCAGACTCAGCAGCCAATGGCTCACGGGCCCAGCCGCTCCGTGGCATGTGGGATCTTCCCGGATCGGGGCACGAACCCATGTCCCTTGCATCGGCAGGCAGACTCTCAACCACTGCACCACCAGGGAAGCCCTCATGTTAACTATTAATCAGTGGATTTAAATTCATTTTTAGTGTTAGTGTTCACCTTTTCTTCACTTTAACTTGATGTTCTAATGTCATATTGTCACTTAATATTTTATTTTGTCAGTGAAAATAGTAATGCAAATAGATTTTCTATTTAATTACTCATGCTCTTTCCTATTTAGATATATGTAACAGTATTTTTTCTCCAACCCAGATTCATTTCACCATATTAGAGAAAATATATTTAATAATATTAGGAAGATTACCACTCATCTAATTTATAAGTACAATGTGTTATGTGTGAATGTCTTTTTTTTTCTATTTTTGTTAAATATTGGCAAAAAATTAGTTGTCAGAAGTCAATAATCAATTCAGTGTCAGTTTAGGCTACATTTTTTAGCTCTCTGCAAACTGACAAACAATGCAAGTGATATAATATGAAAAGTCAGTTTTAGCAACACAGTTGTAGGTGGAGCACTAATGGGAAATCTGCACTGCAGAATAGTTAAAAGGAAATATTAGGGCTATATAGTGACTGGACATTTCTGTTTTCCTTTCTTTCCATATAGTCCTGCTTTATAAAATTAATAGAAAAAAATGTGATTCATCACCTTGCCTCCAGAGCACTACATCTACAGAATTCATGGATAAATTCAAATGCATCTGTCCCACTGGTTTTATTGGTAAGTACCATTTGAAAACTGTGCCTTTATAAAGAGCATTTCACCCTGGGGAACATATGTCAGGATGTTATTGATTCACTAGTACTTCCTTTGTGTTCCTCTTTAAATTTCCTTTAGACTAACATTTGATTTGCATTTCAATAACCTGAAATATCTATTCTACCTCTAGACTCCAAATCAGAAGATAAATTAGTTCACATCTAAGCAGTCTTTATCCACCAACTCAGCAATTAGTCTGCATTTAGTAATTCCAAGAGAAGTTGTTGCAGTCTGTAGTAAGGTGAGCCCTGACACTAATATATGTGGCATTCTTATCTGATGAATTTCATCTCAAACATCATCCCCTTTAGGGTTAAAATGCTTGAGCAAATTTAAGAATTATAACCTGGCACCTGTTTGACTTATTGAAACTTAAAATCTGTTAACTTTTTTCAAAGGTACAAGATATGAAATAGATAGATGTAGATGAGTGTGCTTCACATCCCCGCAAGAATGGAGCCACCTGCATTGACCATGCTGGTAATCATTCCTGTCAATGCGTGGCTCCATTTAAAGGTAATGACCACTGAGAGAGAAGAAAAAGCAAACATAATTAACTTTAAAGAGCACTTATGTCTCTTGTCTGATCTCATTTCAATCTCCCAACAGCATTATGGGGCCTTCATTTCCTTAAAGTCAGCTTCTAAAGTGACCAACCAATTATCCCTTAGGCAGAAATGAGAGTGAAATGAGCTTTGTTTATATACCCACTAAAACAGTCAAGTTTCTTAGTTTTCTATTAGAAAGACCATCTTACAAGCAAATGGTAAAATAAAAAGTAAGGAAGAATATAAGCAGGCTATCATGTTATATTTGAAATATTGTTCCTATTATTCAATTTCTCATGAAATTGTCAAGGTTTGCTTTTTCTTTATTTCTAAAGTAACCATTTATCTGATTTTTGAATATAGCTATATTGTGCTTAACATAGAGTAAGCCATTAACTGATACTTTTAATTTTGTTTCAAATTTGATGATACTTTTTTAGCTTCAGCCAAGGAGTTATATTTTTTTTCAAAAGTAAAATGTATGGTTTGCCCTGTAAAATATACGTTTTTGTTTTGTTTTGGTTTGGTTTTTTGTGGTACGCAGGCCTCTCATTGTTGTGGCCTCTCCTGTTGTGGAGCACAGGCTCCGGACGCGCAGACTCAGCGGCCAATGGCTCACGGGCCCAGCCGCTCCACGGCATGTGGGATCTTCCCGGACCAGGGCACAAACCCGTGTCCCCTGCATCTGCAGGCAGACTCTCAACCACTGCGCCACCAGGAAAGCCCTAAAATATATGTTTTGATAAATTTTTGTGCAAACTAGTATACAGAAAGTCAATCACTGGATACTTCCTTGAACTTTAGTATAGTTTTCTATGCCATGGAATTTAAAAACTGTGTCATTCAGGGTTCTCCAGAGAAACAGAAACAATGGGAGTTATATCTATATATCTATAACTATATACTTACTCAGACAGACATGATCATAACAGCTTTCATTCTTCATTACTGTGTGGGTCAGTTCCTCATAATGAATCTCCATGATAAGATATAGTGCCATGATCTGCTGTCTGTCTGTGAGCTGAGACCCAGGAAAGTGGTGGTGAAATTCCAGCTAATTTGAAGCCCTGAGAATCAGGGGGGCCAGTGGCATGAATTCCAGTCCAAGTGCAGGAGAAAACCAATGTCCCAGCTCAAGCAGGCAGGCAGAAAAGGAACACATTTTTCCTTCCTTCATTTTTTGTTTTACTCAGACCCTCAGCAGATTGAATAATGCTCACTCAGTAGATGGGAGGATAATCTACTTTACTGGGTCCACTGATATAAATGCTAATCTCATCAGGGAGCACCCTTACAGACACACCAGAAAAAATATTTAATCTGGGCAGCCTATGGCCCAGTCAAGTTAACATACAATTAACCACCATGCTGCTCAACTTTATATTATCAACTGAGATATTCTTATATGTTGTACCTAATTTTCTTAGAGAGTATCTTCTGTAATCATTAATCAAATATATGATTGCTTGACTAACTTCAAATATTTAGTATATATTTAAACTCACTAAATTACAGTGTTCTTATTTGTTAAACGGAGATTAAAAATACTTACCTCGTTGATTTGAATGTGAATTAAATGAGATAAATCATATAAATACCACATTGCCTGCTGGAAATTAACATTCTTCAAGTATTTAATTGTAATTTTAAATAATTTTCTAACATATATATGTAAAATCTATACAGTAGGTAATATTTTATAATGTTTGGGTAGTAGAATTGAATACATATTTATTTATATATATTTAAAGACGCATAGAGAATAGTCTAAACAACCCCAATCAATAAAATACTTAGATTTTATTTTAAAAATAACAAAGTTTTCCCAGTGCTTAAATATTTGTTTCTTATGTCATTCTCAGTGAAAGGAACCAGATCTCCTTAGAGATCTAGCTGATTCTGGGACTATGACACAGAATGTACAAATGGGCGTGGAGAATTTTATAATACTAGAAAGCAATGAAGTACTCAGAAAACAAAACCATGAGAGTATCTCAAAGGAACACAGGAGCCAACTGAAGATGCTCTTAATGACCAGAATCATTTGAGCAGCAAAATACAGGAGTATTGGTTTATTATCCAAATTATAAAATAAATACTCATGAGTCCACACTGATAAAAGTAAATGATAGAATATATAAGTGAATAAATAGGAATAATAGACACATCTTCTATACAGAATTATTGCAAATAATTTGGACAGATACTTTGCACTCAAGGAGGTTGAACATAACTTCCCACCCCTTAAGTTTGTGCTGTAACTAGTGACTACTTTCCATAGGGTACAGTATGGAAATGGGGTGTAGGGGGAGAGTAACTTTTCAGAGCAGAAATCTGACAAAAACTGCCTAAGCCAAGTGATCAAAGTTAATACCAACAGTGATAAGTCATGTTAATAGCAAAACTTTCAATATGAGGTAATGAGAATGTCACTTTACCTTTATGATCTTCAGCTTGAAATCATATTGCCCCAGTCTAACCATGAGAAAACCATCAGACAAGTCCCAATTGAGGGACACTCTACAAAATTCCTGGTTAATACTCCTTACAACTGTTAAGGTGTCAAAAACAAGGAAAGTCTGAGGAACTCTCAGGAGACATGATGACTGAAAGTAGTGAGGTATTCTGGATTGGATCCTGGAAAGGAAAATGGCATTAGGTCAAAACTAAGGAAATCCAGATCAAATATGGGATTTAATTAAAAATTATGTATCAATATCAGTTCATTAGTTGTGAAAAACATAACATAATAGCACAAGATGTTTATAGTAGAGGAAACTGGTTGCAGTGTCCAGTTTCTCTTCACTATCTTTGTGACGTTTAAGTAAATCTAAAACTATTCTAAAATAAAGATGTTTAATGAAGAAACGAATGATTACAAATAAAAGATTTCTAATTCAAAGTAATTTACACTTGAAGAAAACAGAAAATATGTAAAATATAGTCATTTTAGGTAATCCTAAATGGTTTAACATTTTATATACACAATTTTATTTTGATTAATATCTGTGACTATTATAGAAATGACTACAGTCATATCTTGTTTTATTGCTATTCACAAATATTGCATTTTTCCCAAAATGAAGGTTTGTGTCATCCCTGTGTAAGCAAGTCTATTGGCACCATTTTTCTAACAGCATTTGCTCACTTTGTGACTCTGTGTCACAATTTGGTAATTCTGGAAATATTTTAAGCTTTTCATCGTTGTTATATTTTTTATGATGAGCTGTGATTAGTGATCTCTGATGTTACTATTATCATTGTTTTGGGGCTCCAAGAATTGCACAAATATAAGAAGGTGAACTTAATCAGTAAATATTGTGTGTGTTCTGACTATTTCACTGACTAGCCATTCCCTAGTTTCTCTTCCTCTCCTCAGGTCTCCCTATACCCTGAGACACAACAATATTGAAATTAGGCCAATTAATAACCTCTAAGTGTTCAAGTGAAAGGAAGAGTCATGTATCTCTTCCTTTAAATCAAAAGCTAGAAATAATTAACCTTAGTGAGGAAGGCATGTTGAAAACTGAGAAAGGCTGAAAGCTAGGCCTCTTACACCAAAAATCCAAGTTGTGGATGCAATGGAAAAGTTCTTGAAGGAAGTTAAATGTGCTACTCTGGTGAACACACAAATGATAAGAAATTGAAACAGCCTTATTGCTGATATGGAGAAAGTTTTAGTAGTCTGGATATAAGATCAAACCAGCCACAACATTCTCTTAAGCCAAAGTCTAATCCAGAACAAGGTCTTATTAATTCTCTTCTATTTTGTGAAGGCTGAGAGAGGTGGGAAGATATAGAAAGAAAGCTTGAAGCTAGCAGAGGTTAGTTCATGTGGTCAAAGGAGAGAAGTTATCTCCATAACATAAAAGTGCAAGGTGAAGCGGCAAGTGCTGATGTAGAAGCAGCAGCAAGTTATCCAGAAGATTTAGCTGAGATAATTCATGAGGGTGGCTACCCCAAACAATATGTTTTCAATTTTGTCAAAACAGCCTTCTTTTGGAAGATGCCATCTAGGACATTCATAGCTAGAGAGGAGAAGTCAGTGCCTGGTTTCAAAGCTTCAAAGGACAGGCTGATACTGTTGTTAGGGGTTAACGTAGTTTGTGACTTAACTGGAAGCCAATGCTCATTCACCATTCTGAAAATCCTAGGGCCCTTGAGAATTATGCTAAATCTCTTCTGTCTGTGCTCTGTAAATGGAACAACAAAGTTTGCATGACAGTACATCTGTTTACAACATGGTTTACTGAATATTTTAAGCTCACTGTTAAGGACTACTGCTCAGGAAAAACAAAGATTTCTTTCAAAATATCACTGTTCATTGACAGTGCACCTGGTCACCCAAGAGCTCTGATGGAGATGGACAGTGGGATGAATGGTTTTCATGCCTGCTTACACAACATCCATTCTGTAGCCCATGGATCAAGGAGTCATTTTGACTTTCCGGTCTCATGATTTAAGGCATACATTTTTGTAAGGCTATAGTTGCCATAGGTAGTGATCCCTCTGATGGGTCTTGGCAGAGTTAATTGAAAACCTAATTGAAAAAAGTTAATTGAACAAAGAATTCACCACTCTAGATGTCACTGAGAACATTCATGATTCATGGGAAGAGGTCAAAACATTAACATTAATAGGAGTTTGGAAGATGTCAATTCCAACCCTCCTGGATGACTTTGAAGGGATCAAGACTTCAGTGGAGGAAGGAAATGTAGATGCAGTGGAAACAGCAAGAGAACTAGAATTACAAGATGTGGAGCCTGAAGATGTGACTGAATTGCTGCAATCTCATGGTAAAACTTGAATAGATGAGGAGTTGCTTCTTATGGATGAGCAAAAAATAAAATAAAAATAAAAAACAAAATAAAAAACTTTTCTTGAGATGGAATCTACTCCTGCTGAAGACACTGTGAAGATTGTCGAAGACAACAAAAGATTTAGAATATTATGTAAACCTAGTTGATA